ACCAATGAGACTGACTGAAACAACCGCGTTGTTCCGATAGATTGAAAGTCAGCCATGCTGTCGTATCAAAATATGAGCGCGAGACAGCGCGAGTTGTACGACAAAGTCAAGAATGCGCGTGAATGGTTCAGGTAAGAAAAAGCCGGAAATATTGGACGACAAGTGGGTGATGTCAGCAGAGGGCATTTAGAGTGCTCACGGAAGGACGGAATGCACAGTCTGCACGACAATCAAATTGGCGAAGATGGTGCGCGGGCGATTGCTGAGACACTCAAAGTGAACACGACACTGACTAAAATCAAGTAAGTCGTCTCACATTGACTAGTGCATGTGAGTGGGTGGTTTCAGCAGAGGCATTCAGAGTGCTCAGTGGCGAATGTAACGGTGTGCCTGCACAGAGTCAGTGGGCATGCACCCACGCACAAGGCATGGCTGAGCGACGAGGGCAATGAAAAAGCGATCGGACCTTGGGTAAGGCAATTCGCTTCGATTGATGCGTGTGAGTGGGTGATGTCAGCAGAGGACATTTAGAGTGCTCACTGATGGACGGGGTGCCAGAACAATCCGCCTAAATCACTACGGGTTCCAGGTCCGAATCTCAAAGTGTCATCTAGCCTCTTCTCTCTGCCAGCATCATGTTGCCCATAAATGATAATGTAGATTTCAACTGTGAGCCGGTGAAAAAGTCTGCGCTGGACCGAGCACGGGAGGGAATGGTTGGGAGCGCCGCGAGCGTGCAGGGAACGGCCAAGCCACCAACCCCCACGGTGGACCAGCAACCCACTACTAGGGCATTTATGGAATGGTATTGGTGTTTGAGTCATGGGGTCGAAGGGCGGGCGGATCGGGTCACCCAGTCAGGCTGCGTAGCAGTGAGCATCAAGGGGGCGACAGGAAAAGTTGGACTTAGAAAATTTTTTCCTCCTTTTGCGCTTTCCTCCTTTTGCGCTGTCGAGCTGTTTTCAAGCTCTTCTGCCACGTTCTATGCCGCGAAACTTCAAAGACAAGTTTATCCATGTGTCAAAATTTAAAATCGAATGGGGTCAAGGATGCTGACACCTCTCAGGCGCCGCTGCTGTGAAAACAGTGGGGAGGACAGCACCACAATGACCCAAAGTACAACACCAAGCACACACAATCACACAAAACTTCACAAAAACTCTGGGTTTACAGCTGAATCAAACATTTCAAGCCGTCTAGCACGCACACACTCCTCCAGAGTGTACCTGAAGTCATCGTCGTCCATCTCCTCAGGCTGGGCCTCAAACACGTCAGCATCGTCATCCCGACTCGTGTCGTAGCGTGAAAACCGTCGAATTGTGTCGCGCGCACGGATGGCCGCTGAGCGCCCTCCAGGCGGCCGCAGTTGAGGGGCAAAATGTTCAAACCAATCCTCTGTTGGTTGCGCTGGTTCCGTTCCTGCGGGTCAGCCTCTGGCTCCAATCGAGGTCGTTTCCGACTGGCTGAACGTGCACCATCACTCGCATTCCCAAATGTGGGATCGGAATTAGCAAATGAAGGGGTAGTGTCGCCCCACGGATCTCGAGTACCGCGATTGCTGCGAGAAGTCGGGATGTAGTCGACAAACTACTATTGTTGGGTGTTGTACGCAGTCACCGCCGCCCTTGCGCTCTCGAATGCTTGACTGTCTTTGGCGCAAAAGGATCTTGCGACTTCTCGGGTAAGTGCAGCAGGAACACGATGCTTAGCTTTGGGCCGCCCCTTCACTCCAGACTTCTTGCGTCGTGTCCACGAACTGGTCGCCAACGACGCTGCTGCGGATGCAGTTGCGTTACCTGGAAGAACGGTTGAGGCTGACGATGTTGATGCTGCTGCTGCTGCTGCTACTGCTGCTGCTGCTCGGTTGGCTTTGGCAGCAGCAGTTCGCTTTGCCTTGGCTTGGGCAGCTCGGGTAGATTTGGCAGCCTTACGAGTTGCACCACGCGTGCGCCGGGTATCTAATGAAAGAATCCCTCGCTGACCTGTCGCATTCCGCATGCTGTTGCTGCAATTGCGTGTGAGCTGGCGAACGAGGCTTTGCAACTCATCGCCCTGAGCCATGGTCTTGAGACGCTCGAGTCCTTTCTCGAACAGCTTGAGAGCTCGTCCACCAGTCGTCGGGACTGGCCACCGTCTTCAACAAGTCCAGAGCTGTGCTCTGGAGCATCATCG